ATATATAGGGTTTTATATTGCGCTATATGTCAATTCGGTGTCCGATGCCAAAAAACCGTACGAATTTTGTCTTTTTCTTTGTCAATCTTTCCGTCACCACCGATGTCGTGTCACCACTGCGTAACGGTCGAAGCTCGTTCGTCGTCCCACTCGGGTCAGATACCGAAGAGAACGTCGACGTCCTTTCGTAGCGTTTCCCACGACACCCGATCGGAACAGCAGTCCTTCTTCGGTTAAACTTTTCAGCGCACAGACGGAACGCCCAACACGCCGTGCCCCGTGCGTCTGGTCCTGAGCGACTATTGCTTCTGTCGCTGCCGCCGTTGCAGTGGCCCTCGTGATGCTCGCGCACCGCCGCAAACAGGCAAAACACCAATAGGAGTGGTAGTTGCTCGTGAATAGACTGATAGCCGGACGAACAGACCGATGGAGAGACAGCAGCAGTAGTACGCCGCAGCGATGCTGTGTGCGTCAGCCGAAGGAGTGAGGAAAGGGGCCCGCTATTGGCAATAAGAGAGAGGAGGGCCCGGCCCGTTTCATTCCATTTAACGTCGTCGCCAGCTAAACGTTGAATTTCCCGCCGGAGCACCGTAATTGGTTTACCGTGGCGACTACCTAAACCACCTTGGTCGACTCCAGTGTTGTTAGTGGTACTTGTAGAGGTCTGGCGACCACAGTGCAGGCCGTAGAAGTGTCCCTTCTGCAGTAGGTTCTGTGTTTGCAGCTCCTACTGATATTTTGCCGCTGTTACCGCTGACGAATATGAAACTGACGAAGTTCCACAATGTTACTGCAGCCGATGCTGGCGGCCGTGATGTCAGCTTCGCGTACATACAACAGTGCAGTGCATTCCCGTAGTAGCTTACTGGGCAATCTGCTAACCTTGTGGAAACGTTGTAATACAGATTCGAACCCAGACTTAAGCGTACATCGTCTTGGGTTGGGGGCCACCCGTGTGGTGGAATGCATAACGGCGATGCTGGACGTAAAACTTTAATCATAGGGAAAGCAGTGTAACGCACCCATACACTGCCGAATAATAGCGGCACATCTGTAGGAACGAAGAGAAAAAATGTACACTTACGGTTTATTTTAACGGAGAGAAGTGGCATTGATCTCCCTCCCGTTGTTAAAACCAGCGGTAACGATGGACATGATGATGACAATGATCCGATACAAGGCTTCTTTTAGTTTATTCTAAAGTCTTGTCCTAAAATTAGTCCTCCCACGCTGACGACGAGACGGGTTCCGCCCCCTAGGCTAATAGAGCATACTGTTAGCGTTTCTTAGGGAAAGTTGCCCTCCTCCATTCCAGGAACGTTTTGTTTAAACAGCATAATCACGCTGGACGCTCATATCGTACAGTTCTATTAGGCGCTGTAATTGTTAACACTGTTAATACTACAAAATAAGCCGTCTATGTTAAACTTCATGTACGATGCTCGGCGCGGGAAAACCGTGGTCGAACTTCGGCCCACGTTTTAAGATGCGGCCTGGGCATTACTTCGATGACAGATTGTTATTAGTTGTTTTAAGAAAAAAAAATGATACGTTAATTAGTTGTGTGCCGCAGATCAACCCTTTATTAAAATTTCTACCCAAAAGTGGCACATTTCTTATCCGGATCGCTGCGTCTCCTCATTCCAGTGTTCATACGGTAGATAGCATCTGCCGCGGTCAACTATATTGTTACTTTCTAAAAGTTCAAAACATTTTACTAGACCTGGTCGCATATCTAATGAGCTGGTTAAAATCACCAATTTTATTTTTTCATGCCTAGTTAGACTGTTTATCAGATTTGCCCGTGTCATCGGGCGCAGCTACCCTATTGTAAAATCAGCATTGTAAGTTTGTACAGACGATACGAAACGCAAATACAGGTACGGTTACTGATGACACTCGTTATCGAATCGATCTTTTGCTGATTTCCGCCGAAGCCCCATACTCTGTGATCGTATATAATTGAATAACGACGATTTACTCTTAATTTAAATCACGGACATAGATATTAGTTGGTTGCGGCAGATCGTAGAAGCGTCCACGTAGTATGGCTACGACATAACGATGAAACTAGAAGGAAATCGTTGATACATTATGATGTGAACGGAAGACTCCGTTTTTCTCCGATCTTTTATTATTATCAACGAAAACATACTGATATAGCCAGCACGACGGACAATATATTACTACTAGTTAGGACGGATATGGCTCGCACGTCCATTCACTTATATGAGAAAATCGGCTTATAAGAGTTAGATTTCGTCTGATTAAATAGTCATAGACAGATCTGACACAAATAGAAAGTGCTCCCTTCCAGTTGCTAAAAAGTAAACGTAGATAATTTACGCATTCGAAGTGGACGTCTGAACGCGCAGTGTCCAATGCGCTGATTGACAGTAAGCGTTAACGGCGATGTCAGATCACATCATTTTTATATCCTCGACTATTGACAGGCAATTGATTTTGACTTGAGTTCCACTAACGCCAGTAACTGCAGCTGGAACAAATTCTCCCGGCCGAGAAGCAGGAAATGGCCATGGTCCCCCCCCAGAATTAATGTTACAACAGTACAGCCGTATTAAATTTTCAGTATCAGAATATAGACTTCCCTCCTTCGACTAGGCTAATTGCAGAAGTATTTTACAGTTCTGCAATTAGCCCATATAGAAATGTCATTTTAGATTATAAAATAAATTATAGAAATGTGACGCTTCTACAGGCGTTCGTTTGAAATTTTTCGGAACCCTTATATTGTAGTGCTCTAGTTAATTCGTCTGATTGGCGGCGCTCCAGTAACTCGAGGCCGAACAGACGATCAGTCTACTACGGCTTTAAGTTATTGGGCCTACGTATTTTTGGGCAAGGCGTCTGTCCCATTTAGTTTATCAAGAAAAACATTGATCATCATTATCATTATCTGAGCTGCAGCTGCATATTGCTAATTGTCGTTACCCAAATGGTTTAATTGCCAAAATGCTGAAGCTAAAACGAAACAAGCTCCCGATAAGGACAGCTACACATATATGTAAGGTTGCAGAATAGATTTTATCGTGCAAATAGATTTTTCACATATGTTTTATAACGCGAAATAGTCATATCGTTTGTTTTTTTTTGTGATTTTTTGCGTCAGCTTTCGCTCTGTCGGCTACCTTCTAAAGGACGGTAAGTATGAGTAATTCGATATAAGTTCCCTATTTAGAAATGGTTCCTATCGAATGTACTATTAACATTTCAGCTTGAATGGCTTACACTCGTTTATCTACACAATTTATGTATAAACAAGCAAAAGCATATGGCTCGAAGACTACGGGACCTGGGTGGCTAATGCGCATTTTTTAAGTGCGTTGTCATGGTAACCATGAACATGCAGACCTCGCCGGCGCATGGTTACCAACGGATATGGTAACCATATCGTTTCATAGATCTATTGGAGAGACCCCACATTAAAAAAAAAACCAAGATCGACCCGCCTTAACCTTCTTCTAGTGGAAGCGGCCCTTGATGCCATACCGAAGAGATGATTCCGAGAACTGGTTCGCACAGTCGTTACAGCCAAAGGCGACAACAAAATAAACACAAAACATACGCCTATTTTAAGTCTAAACTCATTATATTAATACATAAATAACAAACAGCATGATTTATATAAATTTGTGCTGAAAATTATGGCTTAATTATTTTGTATTTGGAATACAAGGAGTGTGTCGCACTTTTGATGAATAATTATACTTAAAAGTTCAAGAAGGTAGAAGCCTCCTTTCTTTTTCCTTTTTTTCCCCTTGTAATCTTGCCTCACTTTGCCCTGAAACGAAAGAAACTTATTTTCGAAAATTAACTTCGCTAATTTTAAGGTATTTAGGTAGTTAATAAAGTAGGGCTTATTATCAGCAATATCTACGTCGAAATGAGCCAACAGAGCCTTAGAGAGATGCTTAATAAATTTGTCAGAAAGCAGAATTGTTGAGCTCACATAATATCACAGTTTATTATTCACAAATACGCTGTACAAATTCACATTGATAGTTATATTTAAGCTCAGCCATTTCAAAATAACCGCACCCCCGGTTTTCGAGAAACGCAGAACCGCTCCAGGGGGTCTTTATATGCTAAACTCGATCATTCAAGCGCACGTTATCTGGCCCGCATGCCCAAGATCTAAATGAATGTTTTGAAGTCTCATACTTCGACAAAACCACAGTTCAGCTTGCTTTTAATTATCAGAGAAGTCGAGGCCTTCTTTCTGATTGTTCTTTTTTTTTTTTTTTTTTAATTCAATTCCACTCGGAATTTTATTGTTTTATTTCTTTTAACTTCGGTTTTTTAATTCAGTCGATGCAGATCTTTGATATCAAAACACGTCTGCCGCTTTGACTACCACATAAAATATATGTATCGTAGCTATTACTCTACGCGGAGCCTTCCACGTTGGCAATTCTCTATCCTCGATAGTCATTCAAATACTCCAGCTCGAAAATAAGCCCTTTACTTCGTTTCTACAATGTCATTCTTCGAAATAGAATGTTCTTTTTTTTAGTTTAGTGCCCTAAAATGTAGGGGTAACCTTTTTATTATTTCAGTCGATCAGAAAGAAATAGATTGAATCTCCCATTTCTAAGATACAGGTATTGCTTTCAAGTAGTTCGCAACTTTAAGAACGTCGATATGGCAGGCGGCAAAACAGATGCGACGTTATGTGATCGAGCTAAGAAAACATTAATCAAATAGCGAAAGGCAAAAAATATGTAAAAAATATATTTTGGTTTACATTGCGGCTCCCCTACCGTAGATTGTAATAAATTAACGTATTATCTAATAAATAATATTCGATTTATATCTTGTGACCGCTAAGACCATAAATGCTGTATCA